CTAAGAGACAGCTTCCTCAAGACTGGAGATGTCAAGATTCTTAGCGAAGTGTAGGCATCCAGAAGGTTTCTTTGCAAGGTCTCTTTGCCAGATTCGACTATACTTTGTTTCAGCTTCGGTCCGAGCGCGGCCGATGTTATGAGCCGAAGGGCCAATCAAAAAGCGCAGCGTCATGGCGTGCTCTTTGCGCTTGATAGGAAAAGCCGGCGGAGGAGCACACATAGGGCCGGTTGCACCAACGTCGCTTATCTTAACCCAAAGCGGCGCTTTCCTAAGCCGGCTTAGCGCCCTAAACCGAGCTTAGGTAAGCACGGGTTTAAATTCCGGTTGCACCAAGGTTAAGCCGGCTTTACAGACGCGCCCCTAGCTAAACGCTGGATTTGCGTAGGGAATCTAGGGACAAACAGAGCAAACTAGGGAACGCTCAGAGCGACGAATACGATTGGCGGAGAGGAATCACGTGATGTAAACAAAAAAAAAAAAAAAGAAAAACTGCCGTAGTAGTTGTCGTCGGCGTCTGCTTTTCGCTGTATTTCTTCGGTGAGTAACAAATTAAAGGTCTCCAAATTCAATCATTTTTTCGTTTAACTTTCAATAACAGAAGTCAAAGCTTCAAATAAACACGAATGCTCTTTACATCTGTGATTGTGTGTTTAATATCGGTTGATAACAGGATATTTTGACAGTGGTAGTAGTTTTCGTGCTCACATTTTGAGGCGAAGGAGCCATCGGGGGCCCCAAATCTCACCGAACGCGAGAAGGACACTCTACTCGCTACATCGCTGAAGACAAAACATCATGGATATAAGTAGGCAGGTAAGATGACTACTAAAACCAAGTCAAGCCTGAGACCGATGAAGTTCAAAACAGTGACGAACTCGCCACGGCAGCTGCGAAAATGCCCGGAAATCGTCGAATAGAAGTCGTCGAGAGGTCAAGTCACGAGACCGTGCATCGACGGTACTCGTTGCTATCAGCAAGGTGACAGAACTGCACTGTATCGTCGTTGAACATCCACTGCAGCCTCAAACGGACTTCAATTTCACACTGTCGAGTTCAGAAAAAAAAAAATAATAATAAAAAAATAGAAAAACTCCCACTAGTACATCACATCGTGCCGATAAGAACGGTCGTCTCTTCGCATCACCTACCTGCCCCAGCCTGCCCCGATACAGCAATGCACGAATCTAACATAGTAGTCGTTACGATTTGTCGTCGCCACGAATGAAAGATATAAAGCAAAATATTCCTAAAAAAATCGCGATCACCAAAAAAGTTACGGAGGACACAACAAGGCGCAACTTTCAACTGAATTTTATTGAAAACGTGTTCCGGTATATAATATCAACCATCGTCACAATGACAACAAACGACAAAAGTAAAGGGAAAACACCATCACAGAGCACAACTCGGAAACAACAGTATCTCGTCCTCGGGAAACGAATGAAAGATATAAAGCAAACTATATAAAAAAAATGCGATCACCAAAAAAGTTAGTTATGGAACGATACAGTTTTCTGAAGCCAAGATTCTACTCGCGAGATAAGGAAAATTCACTGAAGATTGTCTCAAAACTCAGAAAACGAAAGAAATTGAATTTTCGCTGTTTTATTACTTAAAAGCGCCGCAATCTAATGCAAACGGCAGAGGTGTCGACAATCAGCTGATCGCCGAGATCGCATGTACTGCCACTATTCAACGCGCTGATCAGATTGAAGGATACGCGCTGCAAGTGTAGATAAACAAGGTGGTAAATAACAATACGTTACAGCTATGCGAAAATGAGTAAGTACATACGAATAAGCTCGTTGACAGAAGAACCAACGGGAATACAGACGTGAGCCCCACAGCTCCGTACGTTTCTCGGTTAGGGCTAACACGCCCTGAAAGTGGAGAGCCAACTTGAAAACAGGGGTCGATCAACACTTCACGCAACAATATTTCGCATCCTTGTCACAATCGAAAGTCATTTTGTCGAGACCTTCACGCTGATGTAGCCTAAAACACTTTGCACAACCAATTTCGTCCACCGCGTCGACCGCGACAAACCAGCCGCCATGTTTTTAATCCAGGATTAAGAAACAACCAGAAGCAAAGCGCCCAATGTTGGGCGCTTAAGTTAAGCGTAGTTTAGTGCTAGGTTTAGCGATAAGCGAGTTTGGTGCAACCGAACGAAACCGAAACTAAGCTTAAGTTCCCGGCTAAGCTCCGCTTTGCGCTAAGCGACGTTGGTGCAACCGGCCCTTAGACTGCGAATACCGGCTGGTCCTATCAACTGAAGAGAGCACGCCATGACGTTGGGCCTCTTACGTTGTTTGATTGGCCATTTGGCTCATAACATCGGGCGCGCTCGGACCGAAGTTGAAACGAAATATAGTGCTGGGTTTCGTTCGGTTCAAAAAAGTATCACGTGATAAGGCGCAATGTAGATTTAGTGTCCAGGGAAAAATGCTTGAAGCTTTTGTCATAGTAAACTCATCTGGATCATAGATGGTGACGATGTTTGTTCTAATCAATGATCATAATGACTAGTTGCGTCACAAAGGGGAAAGGGGGGGGGGGGGTGGCAGCGGCCCACCACCCCGGGTGCCGCTGACCTTATTGATGCCACTGATCAGGACGTATACATCAGTGCTTCCACCGAAAACGTACTTCGGAATTAAGGCCCGTTCACACTCTTGCGACTGCTTGCGACCTCTTAAACCTGGGTTCCTTAAAACTTCTTAAACCAGAGAACACACTGGCGCCATCTATTGGGAAGCAGTGTAAACTCGGCTGTCCGGCATATTTTTTTTTTTTTATTTCTCGCGCAATATCCTTTTTTTTTTTTGGCTCGAAAAGCTTTTGTCAATGTTATAAACGAGCCTTTCTATGGGTATTACGCACATTTGACCTCGGAAATCCCGCAAAACCTTCGCTTTTGTGAAATGCAGTTCTAGGGTCACCGCATAGATGGCGCCTCAACGTCAGTGTGTTCCCTCATTCTAGAAACATTTAAGAAGTTGTAAGAGATCTCGTATCTCTCAGTCGTACTCGGTCGCAAGAGTGTGAACGGGCCTTTAGCCGCCAGGCAGAAGATCATGCGCATTGAGAATTACTGCGAAGAGGCCTCCCTCTTGTGGTGGACATGCGCGGGCTTAGTGCTCCTGCTATTCTCAGGTCTCTCAAATCACACAGCGAAGGCGTTGAATGAACCGATTTGGCATTCCACTACACTCTTCTAAAATTCAGTGGAATGCGTCGCCTGCCTCATGAACAAACGCACGCTGCTGTACACAGCGCGACACTATTAACGTAAGCAAGTAATCGTCGTTTTCTGTTCTTTTTTTTTTAAGACAATGATTAGCTGTATTCGGAACTGCTGCTGTGGTGGTTAAGTTCCATTTTAAGACACCAACCTTCACGGTAAAGCTTGATGCCGTGCGATACCAATTCAAAATCACCCGAAAAAGCATTGATGTGTTCGTGCTGACAGTGTCAGGCGGTGTAATTATTTTGAGTCTCGCACGAATTCCAAGACCTTAAAATATGTGCCTTTTTAGTATACTTCCATACCCTTCACGTTGTGTGCTTCCTCATCTTAAAGCCTTTTATAAGAGTGGATGTGTTTTTTATTGCTTCCTTTCTAAACAAAAAAGAACACGACCGAAATCGGAGTATACTTTCACAATCTGTAAAAGCGCATCACAAAAAAAAATAAATAAATAAAAATCAGTTTTTTTGACACAAATTTCTTTTGCCTGTTCTATGAATACAAATATGCATACGACTGTTAAGTAAAAAGAAGAAAAAGAAGAAAAAAAACAGTAGAGTAACTTGGAGTCACCTGCTCCGAAAACGCGGCGTGCAATCTGCGAACCAGACCAAGTATTGCTTCGAGAGGGATTAGGGTACGTTAAAAGAAAAATGAAAAGACGACGAATGGAAAATTACCTGGACTTTTTACTCGAGCACACGTCGTTCCAATTCCGAGTTTGAGGCCAGCTTGGGTCGATAAGGGAGCTGCTCAAAACTCGCAGGCGGTCTTGATGCTTTTCTTCTTTTTGGCGTTCGAGATCTCGGCTCGTATTGCAGAGACTTATATCCGCCGACTTTCGAAGAGTATGAGTAGAAATCGCGGAAAAGAACTGATTGCTGCTGGGGTAGGAGAGGATTTCTTCCCTTGGCAACGTGCAACCACAAATACTAATGAATGTCTCTTTTTATTTTTCCTCCGAAGAAAGTTAAATGAAGCAGAGAGACGTGCAAGAAATGAACGCAAAGTAATTTTGAAACTTTCTAATATTTAGGTGGTGCCTCTTAACCTTGATGACACTTCGTACGCGCAGCGTGCCAGCAGGCACGAAGTAGTTGAGGTTTCAAAACTTTAGCTTTGCTCAAAAATCGTTTCGACAAAGCTTTTTTTCTTCTTGACTATATCCTATCTTCTACGTTCTTTTTAGAGACTATAAAACTATGGTTCCGTTCCAAAGATCGCGATTGTCTGCCCCCTTTCCAACGCGTTGCTCTTAGCTGTTGTGACAATTATTGTCTTAACTGAATCTGGTCACGTTTGTATTTACAATATTTGTATTTACCAGCGCAAAGCATTGTCTTCGAGTACTCTACATCAGCCCTTAAATTGTTACTACCTTACTGTGCAAGCGAACAATACATAGTTATAAAAATTAATTTCTTAGAACGCACTTCCCTTCCTGCTTTGATACGCTATAGGTTCATATATAGGTTCTTTTTTCCGTCTTTCCCTCCCTCTTATTTTTACTTTTCATTGCTCCCCCACCGTCCCGCTCTTTATCACGTTTCTTCCCCCAATGAAGCGCCCCCGGGGCAACGGCCCCCTCCGCCACCACCCCAGCGCCCCTCCACATTCCGCGACCCTTTTTGTACGCCCATCAGCGAACAAAAGCCCGGCTCTCCCGCACGCAATAATTGAATCGAAGCCGGCCTCACCGCCGCGGCAAGCATGCAGCCGCGGCCCGCTCTGACATCGTGTCTCCGCTGCAGGCGCCATGGTGTGTGCGCCCGTGTCCCTGGCGATGCTGCTACTGCTGCTCGTGGCCGGAGCCCGGCCCGGAGTTGCGCGCAGGGGTCACCAGCACCAGCAGCAGCAGCAGCACAGGCCCAAGGTGGACCCGCTGCTGGTGCACACCACCAAGGGCCCCATCCGGGGCCTGGCCACCGAGGCGCCGTCGGGCAAGCTCGTCGACGTCTTCTACGGCATCCCGTACGCTCAGCCACCCGTGGGCAGGTACCGCTTCCGACACCCCAAGCCCACGGACCCGTGGAAGGGCGTCCTGGACGCCACGGTCAAGCCCAGCTCCTGCTACCAGACGGTGGACACGTTCTTCGGCGACTTCCGCGGCAGCCTCATGTGGAACGTGAACACCAACATGAGCGAGGACTGCCTCACCCTCAACGTCTGGGTGCCTCGGCCCAGGCCCAATAACAGCGCCGTCCTGGTGTGGATCTACGGCGGCGGCTTCTACAGCGGCACCTCCACGCTGGACGTGTACGACGGCCGCTCCCTGGTGGCCGAGGAGCGCTTGGTGCTCGTGTCCATGAACTACCGCGTGGCCTCGCTGGGCTTCCTCTCCCTGGACCATCCGGAGGCCCCCGGCAACGCGGGCCTCTTCGACCAGCTCATGGCGCTCCAGTGGATCCAGGACAACATCGCCGCGTTCGGCGGCAACCCGCGCAACGTGACGCTGTTCGGCGAGAGCGCGGGCGCCGTCAGCGTGAGCATGCACCTGCTGTCGCCGTTGTCGCGGGACCTGTTCTCGCAAGCCATCATGCAGAGCGGTACCGCCACGGCGCCATGGAGCCTGCACGACCGGCGCAGCGCCACGGAGTCGGCGCTGCGACTGGCCGAAGCCCTGCACTGCCCGCACTCCCCCGCCGAGCCCGAACCTATGCTGGAGTGCCTGCGGCGCCAGGACCCCGAGACCATGGTGAACAGCGAGACCGGCAGCCTGGGCGTCGTCGAGTTCGCCTTCGTGCCGGTCGTAGACGGCGCCTTCCTGGACGAGACGCCGCACGAGTCCCTGGCGTCGCGCAACTTCAAGAAGACGCGCGTGCTGCTGGGCTCGAACCGCGACGAGGGCAGCTACTTCCTCATCTACTACCTGACGGAGCTGTTCCGGCGCGACGAGTCCGTGTACCTGGCGCGCGAGGACTTCGTGCGCGCCGTGCGCGAGCTCAACCCGTACGTGGGCGAGCTGGCGCAGCAGGCCATCGTGTTCCAGTACACGGACTGGCTGAACCCGGAGGACCCGATCAAGAACCGGGACGCCGTGGACAAGATCGTGGGCGACTACCACTTCACGTGCTCGGTGTCCGAGTGGGCGCACCACTACGCGCTCGCGGGGTCCCAGGTGTACGTGTACTACTTCACGCACCGGTCGTCGCAGAACGCCTGGCCCCAGTGGATGGGCGTCATCCACGGCGAGGAGATCGCCTTCCTCTTCGGCGAGCCGCTCAACCAGTCGCTGGGCTACCACCCGGACGAGCAGGAGCTCAGCCGCCGCATGATGCGCTACTGGGCAAACTTCGCCAAGACTGGGTACGCAGTTTTCCCTCCTGTCCTGCATGAAAATGCACGTTTGCGACACTCTAAAAAAGCCTGGAAATTCACCTTCCTGCACAACACACAGGGAACCGATCACGACGAACAATACAAGAATCCCAGCAAATGAAGAAGCCCAGAAGACGACTAACTCTACGCGGAGATCAAGTCGTCTGCTTCTTGCGCAGGAGTTGCGGTGACGTCAGAAAGACGCCGAGCTCTGATTGGTTCTGATTGAAGAATAGGGGTAGAGCTCATAGCAAGCTTCATTGAGGTCTACCCACAATACTTCATTTACAACCAATCAGAGCTTGGCGTTCTGACGTCCCCACAACCCCTGCAAAAGAAACAGACGAACTTGCGCTCCGCATAAAAAAACGCTACGTGCGCACATTGTTTTAGAGTAGGGGCCACGAGAAACTTGGGGCGTGGCACAGCGCATGTGCGGTTCGACTCCTCAAGTTCTTTGGGGCTACTTAATCCCAAAACCCCTCATGAGCAAGTGAAAGATTCATTCTCCTCGACCCTGCGCACATGGCTTTTTTCGTTTAGTTGTAGTCCAAGTTTGGTCGTTCGCTGCGATCCTTCTATTGTTTGCCGCGATTGGCTCCCCGACAGTGTTCTGCAGGAAAGTAGTCTCTTAGACTTCTTTAACCCGTAGTCATCGACAACTAAAGGCGCCCAGGGCGAGGTTTGTCCCGAACATCCGTTATCCCTCCATGGTAAATGAAATTGCAGCGTTAGCCTTTAAGAACGCCCTGTGCTTTTTTAAACGGTCATCGCACTACATGTCTATTCACGAGTTCGGCAATGTGCGTATCATCCTGTTTTTTTGTATTCTTGCGGCATTAGTTTAAAATTTATCCGAGTAGCCTATCAAAATGCTGCGTCTGCCGCATATTCTTGATGGGGTAGATCTGTACGAATCGGGACACTACACGATCCCTGTTCTTATACCGCGATGCGTTTAGTTCAATTATTCAATCAATCAATAAATCATTCGATCAATCAATAAACTAATTAATAAACAATTATTTTTCTTAAATAATTAATTAATAACAGATCAGTCCGTCAATAAATCAATCAATCGATCATGATGTCCTGTTATGAGGGGACTTCGTTGTTATAATAGTTATACCATCTGGTCACGTGCAGTTAAAAAAGTCATATTAGAGAGTTTTAGTAAATAGTTCCGATGACTCTGATAACAATACCCGATACTCCGCCGCCTTCTTTGGGCAGGCATTTATGGTATCGTTATCGGGGGTATTGGAGGTATTGGAAGGATCTACTAAAACTCTTTAATTCTTTGACATTCCTACTTCTTTTGCATGTAGATGTGAGTGACAATGGTAGGAAGAAGTAAAGCTCGGACTGTAGTTAAAATGCTTTTGTTGGTTATAACTACTCCCCCGAGACTCATGACGGCCTTGCAGCCCTTTTATTTTCTTACCCCCAATTTGTTCCCTCTGATTCCACGTGCTGAATAGAATGAGCATGACGATTTACAGTTGTACAGTATCTATTAAAAAATCACAAACCGGAGCATGAAACATACGCTGCGTAACTAACCACAGCCGCAATTGACAGTGGCATTTGTCACTGCTTTGCTCTCGCTTAAAATAAATGGGAGTTTTTCTACCGCTTAAGGGCGCGACAACACCACACCTCCGCGAGCACTGCCTGAACCATTCTGAACGAATGTTCCGACCACGGTGGTTGAAGCGGTGTGTCAATCTACTCATAGGAAACAACTCTGGCGCGCTGATCAAAAATATATATCTGACTTGCGGTAAACACCTGTTTATGAAAAACTGCTTTTTGAGCAGAGGTGTTCGGCCTAAGACCCTGCAGTCAGGCGGGCTGCGGGGTCTTACGCCGGACACCTCTTCTCAAAAGCCTTACGCCGAACACCTCTCTTTAAGTTACGTATACCTCCCATTGCCGGAGATTACCTCGGTCTGTTCTATGTTTGATTTTTTTTTTATATAGAAAACTCGGCCGCGCATCGTTATGATTTATGGATTTCTAGGATGCTTGGAACACGAAGAGTGAGTTATAGCCATAATTAGGCGATCTCAGAAACCTCCTTTAAGTGGACACCAGAAAAAGGGAGGAAAGATAGGTTTTTCTTCTTATCCAAGCAGACGACAGGAAAATTCCTCCCTCCCGCCTCACCTTCTTCTGGTTTCGTTTTTCAAGCTCGTCGCACGCGTGTTTTTTTTTTTTTTTCTTAATTTTTTTATTAAACGTTTTTGAGTTGATTGGGCGTCAACGGCAACGGAGCTGCCTGTAACAGTATCCTAGATGAAACACGCAGAGCACCTCAGTTGCATTGACGCGTTTACCGCTAATTTAGTCAAACTAACAAACGAAGCCTTTAGAAACGGCGACGTTCCAGTGCAACGCCAGCCTTGCTACGTACACTGGGCTAAAATGGCATTGTCCGCAACTTTGCGTCCAAAAGGTTTAACGCCTAAGTGCCCGCGCATCTTTTTGCGCTACGTTTGGGTCTGTTTCCTGTTACCGGGTGCCATCAGTCGATAAAGGGGGTTTCATATTTCCGTCCCTCACCAACATCGGCATGGCAGTGTTGTGCGTTTGTTGCTAACGAAGTCTAGAATCGTCGTCGATGTCTCCGTGCGTTTCGCGTACCAGTGGTGCACGGTGAGACGAGGCTATGTGTATGGTTGCAGGTTGACATTCTGATTTGCATTAAAGAGTTTAATAAGACCGCTTGGGGAATTGTGGTGCAATCGATCGACCTGCGGATAGTCTTGTTAGAACTCTGGTCTGAAAAGTAGCTCCAATTGCATAGTGGCCAATGTAACTTTCGTCTGGAATGCCCTGTTGTCCCCTCCCAGATTGGGCTTACGGGAAAGGAGCTGAACAAACTTGAAATATGACGGAAAGGAAGCACGCACATACATTTACAGTTGCGAATATTAGCATTAAAGCAAATCAGACGGAACGACCGATGTGGTGCTAGGTAAATTTCCTTCCTGTTATAGCCGAATAGTCTCAGTCAGCAGCCGGCTTGTTGCCGAGCCATCAAAACTTACCTGACACCGTTGTAGATTTTCCTTTTGGATTTTCGTACGTGACGGATCACAAATCTACGTCACTGCTAAATAACACATATTTTTAACTACCTTAGGCTACTCAAGCCCTTTATAGGAGCAGAGCCGCGTTCGTGCTGATTATTTCAATTAAATTGAACCCCCGAATTGTTGGAACGAGCTCAAAACACGCTTCAATTTCCAATGTGCATCTAACAGTCCTCTCGTCGATGCCAAATTCCTGAGCTCTTAACGCATAAAGCACTGACCATCGATCATAAAGTGGTGGCTTCGGAACACCGAGTGTTGCGATCATCGATGTCGTTGTGAAAAGCGATTTCTCTGCCCGAGAAACATCTCTTACAGCTGCTGAGTGAATACCCCTTTTACATAGGTTAATTCACGATGACATCTGCCGCCACACACGAACAGCGCAAAAACATAAACGAATACAATGATAGAAAAACTGACGTACCTCGCACAATTCTACGACGAGCTTTACGGAGAAGCGAACACGTGGCTTCTAGGAAGCGCTGTAGAGCAGGTTGTTTTCTTGACTCCCGAAAATAATTACAGCGTAGACGTTTGATGTTTACTAGGAGCCGTTCAAGGTATACGTTCTAAGTAATGGCATTACCGAGAAAAAATCGACATGCTGGTAACATTATTTTTTTCTAAGATCAGTGGTTCTCAAGCATGAATGTGTCAGGGACTTTTTAGGAACCCGCCAAAGTGATGGGGGACCTCATGCCAGCGGGAAAAGGGGAAAGGGGGAGGGTATAGAATGAGACAACTAATTGCCATGTGAATATGGCGTCCTTTACTGTTATAGAGAGGAGAGACAGCATCAGTCCGAAAACAATGCCAGCTCTTTTCGGTTGAATCGCGGCGACGTTCCGCCCAAAGACCGGCGATATCCGTAGCGTCCGGGCTTCCTCGTTAAGCCTTACTGAGTTCGATTCACTCAATGCGGAGCCGCCATATTACGATGCAGATGAAGGAGGAACTTTGCTTCCCCGTTTGCAGGGACGAACGTTGCTCCTTTTCTGAAGGGACATAGGGGCACTAGATCATTTCTCCCTTTATGGTGGAATATATAGACACTCCTTTTTAAGGGTGTAGGTTTTTTACAGTCTTCTTAACTGCAGTGATTGCGCTCGAGCCCAAACCTGCCCGTCGGCATATTACTCTAGAAACGCTTTAAGTAACCTAAAACTGAAGACGAAAATTATTAGTTAGAATGATGATGATGATAATGATGATGATGACAAAACTAGGTTGGCGGGTGGCATACATACACGCAGTATACTACTTTAACATTTCGGTAATCTTAAGTCTTAAGCGACGACGTTGTTGCCGTTTGCTGTCCTCCCTCCTCCGCTTCAAAGAAAAAAACAATTGCTCGTTCGCCGTGATCTATTACAGTTATAGCTCGAGAGTTGCAAAACAATACCCGCAACTATAAAAAATACGCCACGCACAAAAACAAATACTAATAATTTTCGTCGAAACCGCAGCGCTTCTTCGGCGCTATATTCCAAGTTCAGCGCCGACGCGCGTACGCACTTGAGTTGGTTAGCGCGCCGCATAGTTTGTTCTCCTCCCCGGAAGGAGGAAAAAAAGAAGGCAAGAGGCGTCCATGCTGCGTGCGAGCTACGCCGATCCGCAGACGGTGTGTACAACGCGCACAACTGCAGCGCGCGCTGTATGCCGACATCGTATACGCTGGCGCCCGCCCTCCGCGAAGAAGAGCTTCATCTTTTATGCATGCCCAAGTGCGTGCGTGAGGACGTGTGTTTTACATAGGTTTGCCATGAGCGCTCTACGCCGCGTTACCACGCTCTTTTGGAAGGGGGGAAAGGAAGAAGCACGGACGAAGGCGGCGTGGGAGCGAGCGGGTGGGCGAGCGGCGCTCGGGCAGCGGCAAGAGTTGAGCGA